TAATTACATGTCATTTTGTACATGTATTGTTAAATTGTACAGAGAATTCTACCACCTGCAGACAAGTCCAAGTCACTATCCAGTATGCGAGATGTAGATTGGTCCACTTTCTACTGTACTCTGGGTTTCCCAGTCTGTGGTGAAGAATATATCACATAATAAAAGTAAACTTAAAGTTTTACTATAAAACCACAAATACAGTCAAATCTCAATTATCCCAATTATCCACATTTCAGATTTATTGGAAATTTAATTTTCATGTTTCATCTATATGTATTGTGTGATTATTATTCAATTAAATTATTCAAATAAACAGTATTCAGCCACAGATAATTGAGGTAAGACTGTACTTGTATGAATGGAAAAAACCCATGCATTTTACATACAGCTTTTTTAAATTGCAATTTCTTGGATTTCCCCTGTTCTATTTTTATGCTTGATATCCTATTGTTGAAGTATCATAATAAAATATCATTATTTTGCAAGTCACTACCTTAAGTAAGTAATTATATGGGTCATGACCTTATCAATCATATAGTCATGTGATCACGTTGGTCATATCTCAGTTGTCAACCATGTTACTTATTAACATTGATCATCTGCTTGGTCAGTCTGCTGTTTTGAAGTCACCATGCAATACACTAATAACTTAGATGAACTTTGTCTTAAAGTCAACTATACCGTAATTGATGTCCTTGTATTCTGTTTGAATATATTTCATACTTCCTAATTCTATTATCATCTCTTGATGTTTTTTCGTGAAATGTTAATCCTTTAAGTGCCAGATAATATTTTCATCTTTTGTAAAATTGTCACTAAAATTTCATCATTATTTTGGATCGTACATTCTCAATTATTGCTTTTAGTCTTTGATAAAAGGTTTGTCAATTTTTATCAAAATTTCAACTATACAAAAAATTAAATTGTTTTCTAGATGGTGACAAATATTGAAAATGCTGCTCAAATGGTTAAAGTTGTACAACAAAATATCTTACCATCGTTGTAAAATCGCACATTGGATTAACTTTTAATATATTAGTTGCGACATGAACTCGATTAGAACGCACCTATATAGGTTTGCGTTTTTAATTAAACTCAATGCAATTCAGCATAGAATTGCATTTAATTCAAGTTTAATTAAATAAAAGTTGAATATCCTGTGATTTAAAATAGAAATGTTTGCGGAGCTTAGGTTTAGTAAAGGGTGTAGGTATGGTACAATTATATTAATGTTAAGATAAATTGAACCATATCTTCCCCCTTTACTAAACCTAAGCTACGGAAACTTGACTTCAATTTGATTAAATATTAATATAAATATAAATAATGAAAATAGTGACGGTCATGACTTAGTAGG